GCCGTTGTGTGATGTTTCAAAGAAATGTCATTTTCTACCGAACGAGAAAAAGTAAAGACAAAAGCCTGTGTAGATCTTTTAATGGTCATGTGACCTATCGAATTACGTAAGCTTTATTAATTCATTTGTCATCTACCCAAACGGAGTTGATAGGTCCGCAACCGGTAGATGTCACAATTTCACCTCTCCGTAGAAAATGGGGAGACGAAGCGATCCGATGATAAGTGAACAACTTCAAAGCACCATTTTCTGATATAGTTTTTCATGGGGAATCCAAAGAAAAAAACATTTCTTCCTTTACACAGGCTTTTGTCTTTACTTTTTCTCGTTCGGGCCTGATAGAGCGTATAGCCTGATCGAGCAAAGAATTCTGAGCTAAATCAGACATCTACCAGCATTCTGTAGTTCTTTTTTGACGTAAATGCAGTTGATCTACGACTCGATCTGGATGTAATACTAAAAAATTACTTTACGACTAGCCACAAAGGGCGTGAAAGTTACCAAAATATTCCGGTGTAAAAGTACTATAGAATGCTGGAAGATGTCTTATTTAGCTCAGAATTCTTCGCTCTATCATGCTATATGGTTTGTAACATTTTCTGACCAAAAACTAAGGACTTTGTTTTCCAGCTGTCAGGTTTTCTAGAAACTCTATTACCAACTTTTCTCATAAAAGGGACGATATGCGCCTCATCTGATAGAAAAATCTTCGGGCTATTCAAAACATTATTCAGATTAGTTCCAGCTTTTACTAAAATAAAAATTTTGATCCTCTTTTGAATTACGGGCGCCTTATGTACGCATTTAATAGTTGTCCTTTTTCAGTTGAAAAGGTTTTTTCCATTTTTGCGATAGTGAGAGGAACTGCCTTTATCTCTTTCGCTACCAAGCCACTTGCTTATTTGAAAACTGAATTCTGTTTTCTTTTCTAGTGGGACTATGGCCATCATTGGGGTGGCCATCACGGGGATGGGCATCATTGGGGTGGCAGCGGTTTTCAAGGCGGTCACCACGGAGGCGGCGGCCACCATGGAGGCGGCGGCCACCATGGAGGCGGCGGCCATCACGGAGGCGGCGGTCATCACGGAGGCGGCGGTCATCACGGAGGTGGTGGGCATCACAGAAGCGCTGGACATGGCAGGCGAAGTTAAATGTGTGACTGTTTGAGCATGATTAAATTACTTTCTTATTCTTTTTTTTATTAATTAATCTCTCTATTTGTGTTTCGATTCGAAGTTTAATATAAGGAATTTACTCTCAAATCTTACACTGAAATATTGCGGATAGGAACCAAGTCTGAGGTTAGAGTGTATGAGATCAGTGACTATTTTCGAGCAGCAGTCTGGAATATTAGATCATAGTATGATTAGGTCAGTTTTTGTTGGAATAGTAGCTGAAAACGTTGAAATCACTATTTCATGATATTTCAACTTTTGTTCCTTCATTTTTAAGTGTTTAAGAGATAGTTCATGAGAAAACCGCGTTTTTTTTATATACTTTCTACCTCTTCGATTTCAAAACTCGTTTTTGCTCACAGATTCTGAAAGAGCGTATACATATTCCTCAGAAAACTATTTGTAATTATTTTTGAAAGCCCTTCAGTACAGAGTGCCGGACGTCTGAACTTTGGGGCTCATTAGAAGGTACCGTTTTTCGTACTTTATTTTAGAAACCAAAACAGACCTTTATCCAAAAAATAACTCGGCATAGAGTACAACTTCTTTACTTCAAACTGCTTGACAAACTAGAGAAAGGTACCTTCAAATTTATTAACTTTTTAATTTGGAGAGTTGTCAGAAAAAACATTAGTTTCGTAGTGAGTGCAATCTTTCTTTTGGATAAAATGATAAAATTTGTTTTCATCATTTCTTGCTCTATATATGTCTCTCTATAGTGTGCATAGAAACAAAAAGCGCATCAAAGTTTCACCTAACTGAACTAATAGGTGGATTATATAGACATGAATGTTTCGTTATACAATAATGAATATAATGGTAATGGATGAGTTTTATTCATCATTTAATACACTTACTCATTGATTATTAATAGCTGTTTCTAGAAGATACTGACTATGGATAATAACGGCCTTTAACTATTTTTATTTTGGTTTTACATACATTATCTCTTACTACTATGGCTCGAAGAGACAGTCGGAAAGTGACGGTAGTTCAGAAAATTCTCGGGAAACTCATTTGGGCTTTGTATTGACGTAGACACGTATCCTTTCATGCACTTAGCTGTGGTATTGGCACCATTATAACTCAAAAACTAAACTTTACCTTTTTATAAAAAATAGAATGGTATAGGGTACAAGTTGTGTACTCCAAAGTGTCCGAAAAACTGGAGAGTTACCTTCAAATTTGTTAACTTTTTAACCTGGGAAGTTGCCCGAATATTCACTAATTTTACACTAAGT